AGGTAGGCAGGCCAGGGCGGCCCTGGAAAGATCGGGGAGGCATTTAAATGCCTCCCCGTGCCTTCCCCAGCCTGTCCAAGGGCTGGCTTGCCTGGGCTCCCCACAGCCACAGGGCACCCGGGTAAGCCAAGGGAAGGCAGTTTAAACTGCCTTCCCCTCCTTTCAAGGGGGGGGGCTTTCCCAGGCTTTCCCATTATTCCATCTTCGTCCCCTATGCACTGCGTTTGAACATCATGACTGCCTGGCCACGGTCTTAGTTGACAAGACTTCAGAAAGCAGTTGTGGAAGTTAAGAGCTATCCATCTTGGCCCAATCTGTTTGTAAATTTTTATTGTGTTTTATTGTAATTTATTGTTTTAATTATGTATTGTTGTTTTAACCTTGGCACATGGTGCCCTTGTGAGCCGTCCTGAGCCTTCGGGGTAGGGCGGGATATAAGTTCAAATATAAATGAATAAAATATAAACAGAAACCAAGGGAAGGCAAGGGTTGTTTTTTTTAAATCATGGCTGAGATCTGATTTGCTTTGCTTGTTGTCTTGTTCCCCAGGCAAGAGCCCCTAGCAGACATGGAGAATTTCTATCACCCATTAGCAGAAGCAGAAAGGGGCTTGTCTGCCCAAGCATCCAGAGGAACTGTGCGGGGTTTTGCCAGCAATGACCTAAAAAAGGATGTTGTTGTCAGGGGTACGGATGAAATACTGACCGAAGCATTCCACCCAACTCTGCCAGGACAAGTGAGTAACAAACAGTCCACTTGCACATGCGTGGGAGGCAAGATGGTTCTTGAAGTCCTTATCACTTTATATCTGAAAAGTATGCAGGCGGAGAGTGATTTCAGCTAAGCATACCTTTATTTAGTTCAGGACAAAGACAACTGACCGGCTCGCAGGCCGGTTTATATGCATTCGGAAAACCCGCCACCAAGTACCCCTAAACACACCCCCTACTCCCGATAGGCTATCTACAGTAACCGGGCGACCATTGGTCTCCCGGCTGGGAAGCTAGCCCTTTTGATTGGGCCGGCTAGGATCCTTCGGATCCATTGTCTTTCGACTGAAGCTACAGATGAATTGTCCCTGGCCAGCCCGGGCAAGTCCGGGCATGTCAGGCTGAATACATTTCACCCCTCCCCCCTTGGTTCGCAATGCACCCACAGATGAAGTCCTTC